CTCCTCCTGCCCCGTCCTCCTCCTCCTCCTAGCCGTTCTGGCCCAGGTGATTTGGGCTTGCTAGCGTATACTTCAGAACGGCACACTGCGCTAGCGGGTCAAGTGGCTCGTTCAGACTGTAGCATCGTTCGCGGCGTCTCCCATGGGACCAAAGCAGCATGAGATCATCGGTGCGAAGTGTCTCTCGTGTGGTGCTGCGAAGTGCAACAAACCGTGGTACAAATGGTGTGCGAATTGTTGGGCCCCCATTCCGCACGTTTCTCCTGGCGCTCCTCGCGATCCTGGGGGTGTGTGGCAAAGTGGCCCTGCAGTTCCAGGCCCAAAAGGTTCTCACAAAGGTCAAGGACCCAAAGGCGGTGGACGTGGCAAAGGCGGGCTTGGGAGTGGCGGAGGCGGCGGCGTCGGGGGTGGACTTGGCGGTCGTGGAGGCGCTTTGGCTCATCCTGCGGACCCGTCGTCCCTCCTCGCCCAGCTTCAGATGCTCATGGGTCAGCTCAAGGACGATTTCCCAGAGCGTGCAGCAGTGGCCAGCTCCATCGCGGCGTCGGCTTCAGCAATCCGTTCCCAGCAGTCTGAAGCTCGTCCCCTTCGGCAGCAGGCATCCGAGGCTCAGCAGGCTCTTGACAAGAATGTTCGCGCCCTCAACTCGCTCGACTCCCAGATCGCAGACACCGAGTCGCGCCTCGCTGAGCTCAAGGAGAAGAGGGCGGAGACCGCAACCCAGCAGGTGCAGCTCAAGGCCAGGTACCTGGAGCTGGCGGCCAAGGTGGCCGACCTCCCGCCCCCGCCGCAGGCGGAGCTCCAGGGGCATTTGTCCAACTTCGACAGCGTGCTGGAGTCTGGCGACCTGGCCGCAATTCGTGAGGGCTGGGCCAAACTCAAGACCAGCTGCCAATCCGTTGCCCAGAAGGAAGCCGCAGGCAGTGGAGCTGCTCCTGCTGCTTCTGACAGTGGTGGGGGGACGGGTGGTGAGGCTGGGGTGGAGACGGGTGAACCTACTCACTCTGATGAAGCAATGCCTCAGGTCGAGGCTGCGGACTCAGAAGCGTTCCAGAACTTTTTACATGAATGGCAGCAGGCACAGTCGGAGGAAGTCTCGAGTGAGTCGAGGCAGCGCGTCTCGACTTTTATCGAGGCAGCGGCCAAGCGTGCCAGGACGATGGCTGCCACTCCTACCGAGGCTCCTGCTCCTCGGACTCCTTCCTAGCCCACCTCAGCCGATGTCGGCTGGCTCGTCTCCCCTCCTCAGTCAGGATGTGGCCGCGGGAGTGCTTGTAGAAGGCTCTCTCCAGCCCCCTCCTCCGCCTGATTTGGATAATTTCGGGCTCTGCGTGCAGACTTGCAATGTTTCAGGATGGCAGTCACTTAAGAATAAGTGGCTGCCAATGACCACGGCACACGTTTTGTTAGTTCAAGAACATCACTTGTGCTCAGATGAAGACATCTCCAAGGCGTCTGAATGGCTCTTTCGTCATGGGTGGAAGTCGTGTTGGGCGGCGGCCGCTCGTGGGGAGGGCACTGGGTCTTCAGGAGGTGTTGCTGTTTTGGCTAGATCGTACCTCGGGCTTCACACGTTGTCGTCGGGCTTCGTACTGTCCCCTCATCGTGCTGGAGCTTGTGTTATAGATATTCCAGGAGGTTTTCAGGTCCTCGTCGGATCGATCTACCTTCACGACGTCGAAGGTCTTTCTGAGCGCAACGTGGAGATCTTGTCGCGGCTCGGAGCTGGACTTTCACATTCTGATCTCCCTGTCATCGCGGGAGGCGACTTCAACATGACTCCAGGTGAGTTTCAGAAGTCGCATTTCGTTTCGGAGTTCAAAGGCCAGATGATCACCCCGACAGACGGAGGTTACACGCTCCGCAGCACGGGGGGCCTCAAAGTATCTGATTTCTTTGTCGTCTCGGCAGGCATCGCGAAGGTTATCAGGCAGGTGAGTGTCAACTACAATTCCCCTCTCACCCCCCACTCCCCTGTGGATCTGGAGCTTTTCCCTTCGCCTGCTCAACTCAACGTTTTGGAATTTCGGAAACCTCCCCCCCTTCCCCCCCAAAGGGCCATAGGGCCCACTCGGGAACCCCCTTCTTGGGACCCTGTTCTCGAGGTGCTGGAGGCGGCTCTGGTAGCTGCCAGGGCGGGGAGGGGGGCTGAAACTCAAAGGCTGCTCAATCTCACCTACAAGTGGTGGGCCAACCTTGCGGAAGTGGAGGTGGCCAACGCCACTCAATCGGTGCTTCCGGTTTGGGGTGCGAGAGGCAAGGGTCCTCAGCTGATGTGGAAGCCTGTTTTCTCGAAGGACAAGGAACCTCTTAGGCACCCCTTTCTGTACTCTTTCAGGTGGCTGTATAATCGCATCTTGGACTGCAAGGTGTATATTTCGTCTAATTCCCAAAAGGCCAAGAGTGGTGGAGGTGATTTTGCGAGGGCCCTGAGGTCCTACATTTTTCACCCTCCCCCTTTCGTGGTCGAGAATCTGGGTGCCCATAAGGAGCTGCTTACCACTTTGCAGTCCATGATCACCCGTGCTGATTTGAACTCGAGCGGAGAGCTCGAGCAGGACGTTCTCGATCTGTATCTCTCGGTCTCCGACGTGGTCGCGCAGGCAGAAGCCAGTGCTAGGGACCGCAGTTTAGCTTCCTGGCGTAGTTGGCTGAGAGAGAACATCGATCAGGGGGCCAAGCGAGCTCACATGGTCACTTCTGAACCCAAGCCCTGGAAACCTACTTCCACTCTCTCGTCCAACGGCTGTGTGGTCAGTGACCCCAGGTCCCTTCTCGAGGCTGAACGCAACAAGTTTATTCATTTATGGCGCGCTTTTGACTCCCCGCTGGAGTTGGGTCCTACTGCCGATTTCGCTCCTGCCCCTGAGCTCCCCCCTTTGGACCCCAACGAGTTGGTCCGTCTTTCGAGGAGCTACAAGATGAATTCGGCGGTGGGCGTGGATGGTTTCCACATGAAACATTTCAGTATGATTTCCCTTCCTGGGGTCACGGCGCTGTGTAGGATCCTGCAGGTCATGGAAATCTCCAGCATGTTGCCTTTTCAGCTTGATGCCACAGTGTTGGCGCTCCTGGGGAAACCTACTGGAGGGTTCCGCCCTATCGGGATTTTCATGGGTCCTTACCGCATCTGGGGGAAAGCGCGGCGGTGCCTTGCCGAGAGCTGGGAGGGGGCGCACGCTCGTCCCTATTTTGCGGCGGGCAAGTACCAGGGGGCCTCAGACGTTGTGTGGCGGCAAAGCGTCCGCAGCGAGAGTGGGGCCACTCACAACTTACATGCGGCTACCCTCCTGCAGGACATGTTTAAATACTACGAGCTCATTGATCTCGAGCGACTCCTCGGTCGATGTATAAGATTGGGTTTCCCTGTTGCCATGGCCAAG